TTAGCTCACATTCAGTCTACTGGACATGGTCACAGGGCTCCCAGTCACATCATGTGAATATTAGGCTACTGAAACCACTCTTTGTGTTGCTGGGTGACTATTAACCATGTTTGACAAAAAGAATGTTTTCCACGTTCTGGTAAGGAAATCCTCTGTCAAGGTAAACAGGCCTTTACCCTCCTCTGCTCCAACTTGGCTCTTGCCAGAAAGGTCTAAATAGGCCCTCTGTAGTCGTTTTCTTTTCAGTATTTCACACCGAAGTTTAGTTATAAACACTGAGCCAGAAATATTAGCTTCTGCTGAAAGGCCACAGAACCCACAGAATAGAGAGCTGTTTTAGGTTCAAGTGCCCAGGTTTGGAGCTCCTTTACCCATTTTGTATCTAGAGAAATGTCCTTTCTGTCTTGTCTCCTTTTCTATCATTTTCCCATTCAATTAATTTATCAAATGTGCTTCTTTCTTGAATTTTTATGCATATTTTTCCTGTTCTTAATAATTTACTTATTTCATTTTTTTATTCCAAATGACTGTATGAGATTTATACTTAATCTATTCTGATGCTACCAAATTGATGTTTAAAAACATCTCATTTACCCATGCTAGCTCGATGTCCAAGATAAATCTTTTTGTCATGGTGAATATGTTATCACCCTGGGATTGGGTTAGAGGTACCCTATGTGTGTTGTAAATGACTGATGAGTTGTAATTCCTCAAACACATGATGCCTCTACTAAGATGAAAAATAACTCAGGCCTGATATGTGCATCTCTGAGCTCACATTTCCATTCAAGTTTTTTCTTTTCTTTCATTTGCAACTTCTTTGCTTCTTTAGAGGAACCACTGATATTTTTGTGGTGGGTGAGCCATGGGTGGGAAGAGTGGGTGATACATTGTTCTGCCTTAGGATCCTTGTATTTAAGAATGCCTCCACCCTCAAATTCTTGCCTTGTGAGAAGGGTTAAATTATCTGTTTTCCTTGATAGGTAATGCTTCTGCTTCTGGGGTCCAACTTGAGTGCGGAGAGTAGCTGCAGAAAATGACCTGAGTCTTATTATGAGTTGAATTTGACTTCTGGGTAATCATATAGAAAGGGAAGAGGAGAGAGCCCCAACCTAGTCCTGAAAACAGTTTTACAAAATCTCATGCCCATGTCGTTGTTATGTTCATTGAATCACTCACTTGGGAATGGGTTATGGTTTGTTTTCAAGTGATTTTGCTGTGCTTTGCTATAAACATTTCTCAGTAGGATAATATTAGGGGGTTGACATGGAGTACGGAATTAGCCTGCATTTAGGAAACACACTTAGACACTGCTTGCACGGAAGCCCTTTGTATTTGGGTCTATTGAGATGCCTATTTATGAAGTCTGAGTGGAAAAGATGGTAAGGGATCCCAGATCCTGTAATGTCTAAATAGATATTATTAAGTGGGTGAGGAATGAGGAACTTGTCTACTTGAATCTTCTTTCCATGTTCATTTGCTTTCTACGAGTGATTGAACTGATGAGCTAGAAACCAGGGTCCCAGCTTTGGTATTGTGAAGGTCCAGGCCCAGTGAGAACATTGGGATAGAGTAATGGTTTGAAGAATGGAAGTTTCTAGAGTGACTTTACCCTGGGAAACTAGGTAAAGCCTGACTGCCACATTTAGGTAGGACAAAAGAAGAGAAAGCTTTCAGGGAACTTGAATTTGAATATAGTTGGCATATCTTAAAATAGCTTTTCCGGGACCTTGAAGAGATTAAGAGAAGCTCAGAATACTTCCAAGTTTTTGAGATCCTAAGTATGAAGAAATAAATAAAATAAAACAAATTAAAAGAAAAAAATGCCAATATTGCAAGTATTCTGAAATATCCAAGTTTGCATTTAACAAATCACTTTTTTCTAACCCTAACCAAAATATGGTATGTGATACAGTTGTGTTATGCATAAGATATTTACAGATTTTATGAAAACATTTTTATTGCATACTGCAGTTGTACGGCCTGGTAACATGCAGGCTGAGGTTAAAGGTGTAGGAGGAATATCACCATGTTTTGCTCTTGTGTACCATCTATATGTGCCACATTATGTCTGGAAAGTTGAAATTTGAGACCCTGTATAGTGAAATTGAGGTCAAGTGGGTCTTTCTCATCCATTATTTAAAATCCGAATACAGTGTTTTTCCATTTTCCCCAGTGTTAATGAAGAGCCAGTACATGCTAGGACAGGAGCCTTTGTAGGCTCTGGGGTCACAGAGGTGGATAAGATAGAGCTGTACCCTGAAAGGGCTCATGGATGACTGACCAGGCAGCTTACAGCAGCAGCTAGCCCTGTTGCAGGGCAGTCTTCCTTGCTTAGCTGTGTTTTTATAAGTCTGCTGACTTGAGGCTTAGCTCATCTTCTTTCATTCTTTTTGTATATAAATTCTCTCTGACTTTCTAAGCAAGCTGCTTACAGCTTGTGCTGCCATTTATTTTGGTAGGAATTTAAGTTATGAAAACAATTTAACAATTTAAATGCCAAAATAAATTAAATTTTATTATATTTAATGTATTACACATAGTTCCATGTAACTATGCACAATGTTAATACAAAATAATGATTAAATGTCTTATCTACTATTGTAGATAATTACAGCTGTATGCAGCCCAGTCTGTGCTTTGCATATTCATCAAAAACTTGTGCTTATAGATGATATTTGATGTTATAGTTCCTTGTGAACCCTTACATGACAGTAGTTTAAAATGTCACTTGGAGAAACTGCTACCTGTTCCTCAATGGTCAGTCTTCCTTATATTCTTTCAATAATAAAATTCCCATTATTAGATGGCCTTTGCGGAGGGGTGTGTGTGTGTATGTATACGGGCTCATGCGTGTACGTGTTCAACAAAAAACTACATTGCTTAGCCTAGTTGGCAGCTAGTTTACTGGTCAGAATCAATTCAAGTCAATGAGATTTGAGAGAAAAGCCATCCTTGTGCACGTTTAAATGAGAGCATCTAGCTAGCTATTATTACTCTCATTATCTACACTTCTGGCACTATAGAAGAAAAACTTCTCTCCAACTTGATGGAGATCTCTTATCTTTCTCTCTTGCATGAGACCCCCCCCCCAATTTCTTTTTAATCTAACTAGATTTCCTGTAAAACTCATTGCAGTCTGAGTCATATTTGTCTCCCTGATATGAAGAAGCAGTGTTCCTGGCACATTACCAGGTCCTGTAAATGTTTACTAATAAATGAAGGAATTAAGGGACACCCTGTACATTAGGTTTCCTGTGTCGATTTGGGTTATCTTCCAAAGTGCTAAGAAGGATAACCGAAAGCTTTTTACTTGCTTTTGCTTGTGAAAAAACTATTGATAGTAATTGATTGTATTTCAATAACTAGCCCCTCCCCACAGCCTACCTGGTCTCATATACAGTGGAAAATGTTATCCAGGCCTTCATGTTTCCAGAATCTGTAAAATATCCAAATATATAGCCAACAATGACAACCTTTTGTATTCTGTGAATACTGTGCCCATTAGGTTGTGTCTTAGTGATTCTCATTACTGAGACACAATACCCAATACCCACAACTTAGAGAAGGAGAGGTTTATTTTGGCTCACATTTCAGGCCACAGTTGGCTGGCTCCAAACAGGATAGCATGCTACACGGGCATGGCAGAGAAGCAGCCACTCATGTCATGGTGGGTTGGAAGCAGAGACATAATGAAGAGAGGAGCCAGAAGGGAGAGAGACTCTTCCAGGTCATGCCCTCAGGGACCTACCTCTTCTGCAACTTGACCTTACCTCCTTTGGGATTTAATTCTATTTTGGGATTTCCAGAATGAAGCTTTACTTTTTTTTTTTTTTTTTTTTTTTTTTTTTTGTCTTATTCCTTTTTATCGGTACTGGGGATCGAACTCACGACTGCCTGGTTGCAAAGCAGGCGCTTATGCCACTGAGCTAAATCTCCAGCCCCCTTGACCTTACCTCCTAACAGCAAGTGAGCAGGAAGCCCCTGTAAGCCAATCACCTCCCCAAAGCCCTGCGTATGAGTGTGTGAGCTCTTGGGGAACATCTAGATATAAACCACATCATGGTGTTAACACACTATTCAGTAAATGCCAGTTTCAGAGAATTCAGTAGATACTTTATAGGAAATTTAATATTAGAATAGGCTAACCATATATATCTCATTAGATGAAATCAGTTTGTAATTGGGAAGAATATGTAGCAGTTGCGAGGGGGGCCTGATCTATAGAATTTTCATTACAATAAAGTAACATTTTGGAACATATTTGGGTTCTGTGACATGCTTGAATCACATTAGACCTTGCCAGTAGCCTTCACTCTACTATCCACTTTCTGAAAGGCTCCAATTTCCCTTGATTTGGGAATCCCAGGCTAGTAGCGCTTGTCCTCTGAGAACTGTCTCAGATACCCTCCATCACTTGCTATTTATACCACAGGCATATAAATAGAAAAATCACTTCTTTCCCTCTCTCTCCTGAGGCAGGGTGGAAAAAAGAAACAAGATTGCTGTGCATGTGTGTCACCCTGAGCTGAAGTCAGTAATCACGGTGGAAAGACCTTTTACGTGTTTTCCTTCCCCAGGTGCCTTTATATAAACAATGAAACACATTGAATCAAATTTACAAACAAGCTTATGAAATCAGAAAACACCACTGACCTTTAACAGTTGGTAGCATGAATTATCAGCAGCTACAGAGAGGTTTTTAGCTATGAAACATGTTGGCAACATGACAAATGAGTTTTTTTCTCCTTCCAAACGTTAAAAATAGCTTTTATAAACTCTTAACTCCCTGTGATGGTGAGCTCACCATTAATCACCTTTATGACATCTTATATTTAGGCCATGGATAAATCCATGGGTCCTAATCAACCACTTTCCTGAGGAAATTGGCCAAATCCCGACTGGAGGGGAGGGGATGAATCACAACAACCCTGCTATTCAGACAAATCTCTTTTCAAGTGCCCTTAAAGCTTTTTTTCATACACCAGCGAAGACAGCCACACAGGAAACAATAATAGTTTAATCTCTTGAAAAATTTCCTTCCTGCATCGCAGCGCTTTCAGACAGGTAGTGAGAGCCAGCCAAAGAAAATGAGCAGCAGCTCCTGCCAAGAGCAGGCTGCTACTTGAGGCCGTTCATGTTCCTTCCACTGCCCTCTCGTTCCCTGTGGTCTCTGTGAAGGAACCTGCGCAGTCTCCCTGGGAGGCTCTCTTGGACAGCCCCATGGGTGTTCTGCTGCACAGCCCGGGAGCTGGATGACGCTGGGAAAGAAAGAGCAACAAAAGAGGAGCCATGAGTGACTCACTGCGTGGCTAGACATGGTAAAGCCTCCTCCTTTCTCCTGTACTTCTCTGGAGCTTCTGTTGGGAAGCTGTCCGGCTATTTTGAGAAACACACTTGGCTCTTTGGAAGGTGCAGTGGTTTCCATGGCAAACCTGTCTGTCCTTCCTCATGAAACCTATGTTAGTACTCGGCAATCCAGACTGATCCCAAGATTACTGGGGAGAGTTTTTATTTTAACAAGCCTGGAAGGAATCTGAAGTTATTTCTGCGATTTTGGAATAGACAAGACCTACTTTCTGTAAATCCAGTTATTTTCCCTCCACCCACCAGCACAGAACACCAGCCTTTGAGGACTTTAAAAAACTCACGGAAGGACTTTTTAAGGCCCATTATTCCTTACTATTCCTTAGAGATTATGTATACTATTCCTTAGAGATTATGTCACGTTTCTTGTGAAGGTTTCAAGTTGTATGTGACTTGCCGCCAAGGAGCTGCTTCCAATCAGTCAGGTCACTGCCCTGTGGACAGTCTCACTGGTCTCTGTGACTGTTAACCACTGGTTCAGGCTAGATCTCTCATCTCTATCTGTTTTCTGACTGTAGCTGCCATGTTTGCTACCTGCCCTACCCACGTATACCTCTGCCCTGTCACACAATCAATTCTTTTGGCTCTTAATTTAGCTACTCTTTACGCTTAGCCATAACCATAACCATAACCCACCTTAACCATAATTGTGGGGTTTTTTTTCTTCTCTCTCTTGACTTGGCAGTTTCATGAGCAACCTGCAGGCCCTGGGCAAAATCAGTTGCATTTCCATCCATTGTCTATTGTCTTCACCCATAGTTGTGCCTTGTATAAGGAAAAATAATCTCTCTTTAAAGATTAGAACATTGCCTAAAACTCCCAGATGAGAAGAACAGGGGTAAGAGAATGTGCTGGCCAAACTTCTGACACAAAAGAAAGTGAACAAAATTAGTTATATAAAAATAGCTCGTCACAGCCATGCATGGTGTCTAGGAATTGTTTGGATTTGTTCCCATGCATTTTTAGGCCAAGTAAGAAGTACATGAAATAGAACCTAACTGTTCTTATCTTTTTTCCTTCAGTATCAAGGATTACTGACAGCAAAGTTTGTAATACTTTCCTTAAACAAGTGCCTTGGTCAGCCAGGAACATTTACTCAGAATCTAAGTAAAAACGATCAACAATCCATGTTACATTCACAGAGTAGCTGAGTGGGGCCCATGTTGCAAATAAATATCAAAAACCGAAAGACACTTTTAAGATGTTCATCACTGTGTTATTTATAACAATAACAAATTATTAATGGCATATATTTCTAGCAATAGAAGAGTCCTTAAACTAGTGTTATGTGTTTATGTGTTATCCACATAAAAAACAGTTTCTCACAGGTATGAAAAGTCAAGTGTTCTAAGAAAAAAAATGTTAATGAGAATATACTTATACTACATCAAATGAAAGAAGTCAAATACTCTATGTGTATGTTTATTACAAAAAATTATTTCTAACTGAATGAATTGTGAGTTAAATTTAATTTTTACAGCTTTTTATAGTATTTCAAATGTTGCCAAACTAAAAGGCATTATTACTGATTATATCACTATACAATTTCACTTTTATTATTTTTTAATAGTATTATTAATTTTTTTGAGATATAGTCTCATTTTGTAGTCCTGGCTGGCCTTGAACTTGCTGTAATCCTCTAGTCTCAGCCTCAATTTCACTTTTTTAGAAACTTGAATTCCTCTTGAATTTTTTCATGTTTTTGTCCATGGAATTACATGTAATATTTTTTAATTTTTAAAAGTGGATATTCAAATATGTCCAACTGTATAGCTGAAAAACTGCAGTGTGTTGAAAAAGGCTTTTGGACTCCTGTTACCTCTCTTCTTCCCAAGTATCTTGGGTCAGATTCTTCCACATTCTCTTCCTGGTCTTTGGTCTGTCTGTATACTCTATTCTGACCCTGCACAACCCTCTGCTTATTGTCTGTTTCTTTTTGAAACTCAAATGCCCTCCACTCTCCTTCTACACTCAGGTTGACAATTCCTCTTATACATTCTAAATCCCGTCCTGTGCCCAAGACATGACTGAAGCAGTCCTCCTCTGCCCCTGGCCCCATCTTGATGTCTCTTGGTCATCATAGTCACAGCCTTGCAGCGGACCACTGTTCCATCTCTCCCCAAGGCCAGGACCACTGACTGGTCCTAGTGTCTAACACAGTACCTTTCTTTAGTTGGCACTCAGTTCCAGTCAGTTTTAATAGAAATTAATTCTATTCCTTAAACTATAAGAAGGATTCATTATAATATGATTGTATTGCCATAATGATGTCTATCACATCAGTTTTCAGTGGTTTTGTTTAACTTCATGCACTAAACATTTATGTTTTATTTATTAGGCACTTATGTGGCATATTAACTTCTAGCTGATCCTTTCTCATTGTTTGCACTGTCAGGTTCTACTTTGTGATGATTTTCATATAGAATTATGCAGATATTATACCTCATGGATTTATTTGTATATTTCTATTTGGGGAATTTCTTTCTTTCTTAATTCTCATTTTTCTTATTTGAAGATGTTAAAAGGAGAATAGGTAGGGGAGAGGTAGGTAGCGAAAAAGAAAGAAAAAAGCAAAGGGAGAGGAAAGGAAGAAAAGAAGTGAGAGAGCGAGAAGTTATTTCTGTAGTCTTTAACAATTTTGTTCTAATATGTTTGAAATGAATAGTAATGTATTTTTTTCCATGGAAAAACAAGTGAGATTTTTACTCAAAGCAGGAAGTTTTAGTGTTTAATAGAGACAACTAAGCTACTCTGCGATTAAAATACTGATCTAATTGAATACTGCTATGGATTCTAATATGAACCCAAAGATGAAGACATCAATAAAAAAACTAATTAAGGAAAATATTACGTTGATTTTGAGTTTCTAAAAAAAACCCAGGAAATTAATGATACTACACTAAAGATGTCTTGGGTACTTAGATAGTGACATTACTGTGTACGTGGCCCCTCAGATAGCAGAAGACAAATCAAGATCTTTGGAGAAATGCTTTTAAGGCAGCACAAAGTTTTGCTTTTTGGACCAGCGAAAGACTGAATATCCAGAATTTGACATTCATGAGTTATTCCTCAAAAGGAATGTCTTTAGGGACTGATTAATGAGCCAAATAAAGTCCAGAATCAACAGGATGCATTTGACTGGCAGGAGGAGGTAGTCAGCCTCTGCAGACACCCGTCTTACTGCTACCTCTTCCTGGATGCCTGTACAGAGACAAGAAGCCCTGCCATGCCTGGCTTCACTTCAGGAAGGTTTTGTGACCTAATAAATAAATAAGGTGTGGTGGGAACCAGAGGCCAGCTCCAACTGGCCAAGCCTTGCCTAAGCGCCCAGAGACAGGCTCACCTGAAATGAGACTGTGCCCAAGTGAGGACCCTGTCAGCACTTTGCTTATTTTAGGCTGGAGCTCAGGTGAGTCATAGAAAGTTCATGTACCTCTGGCCCTCAACCCATCTCTCTTCTTTTGTTTAGTTGAAGAAGACTTTGTCCTAGAAGACATGGAGGATTAACTGCTCCTGAAAACTTGAGAAATCACAGTCTGATTTGTGTGAATGTTGGCTGGCTTTTTACATAGAACAGAGTGAGGGAGGGAGGGTGGGTTGCTGCACTGGATAGGGGGAAAGGGAGTGCCATCCTTCTCTTGGCTTTCTGTCCTCTGTCTCACTTGCCTTAGGCTTCTGTTATCTCTGAAGGGAATGCTGTGCTTGTATTCACAAAGTTTCTCTGTTCGTCATTGGTCATAGAGAAAGCGACTTTTTGTCTCCTCATTCTCCAGCAGCTGGATGTGGTTCACAGAGAATCCCAGGCACAAGCTGATGGTGAAGCTACCAAAAAGTGTGAACCATGGTTCCTGAGTCATCTTATGGAAGGCTGCTGCTGAATATCCAATCAGATTGTAACTTGAGGAGAGCATAAAGCATCATTAGGTCAAGCTGCTGAGATTCAGGGATGTTTGTTATAGTAGTTAGATTATCTGAGCAATACCTAGTGGTTTCAGAATCTGACTTAGCAATGGCCAATAGACTCTCATTATTTGTGCCTCAGTGTCTTCCTTTGTAAATGTCTACTGACAGGGATGTCAGATATTTAGAATAGGACTTTGTGAACTGTTGGTGAATACTCTAATACTGGTGGTTCATTACCAGCAAGACTTTTCTAGTAAATCCACTATAACTGCTACAACTCTTACTTCTATTATAGTACCAGCTTTCCAATTGCTGCAGGTCTTTTTCTTGGAAGGAGGAAGCCTGTGAGGAAAATGGTTGCTCATTTCAAGAGAATGGGTCTTTTGCTTCATAAGAGGGAAGACTTTCCTCCCTCCCTCCCTCTCCCCTTTAGTCTTCCTACTGCCCTTCCCTCCCTCCTTTCTCCCTTCTGTCCTTTCTATTGTCCCTTCCTCCTCCTCCCCTCTTATTCTGATGACATCTTCTGTGATGCCCCGTTAACCTTGAATAACTAACTCAATTGATGCCCTGCCTTAGCCTCCTGAGTAATTGCCACTGCAGGTGAACAACACTGCATCCTGCTAAGTTACTTGATCAGAACCTAATGCAAAGTATTAGTTAAATCTACAAAAGAAGCCTGAGATCTTGTCATTCAGGGATTATGTACAAGGAACATTTCCTATGGTTACAGAAGCTGGCTGGCACCTAATGATTCACAAGGGATTTAGAGGACAGAGGTCATGTTGGGTGATGAAGAAATTGTGGAAGATTTCATGGACAAACAGTTATGCAATCTTTTCAGTTCATTGGGAGCAGCTATCACACTAGCTGAGCGGAACAAATACTAAATATGACCCTGGAAATGACATAGTGGCCATATAGTGAATTTGCTTTGCCAAGAGGTGTTTGCAATAACATGACTCTTAGTTTTGGAATGGAATTTTGAATAGACAATATTGCATCTATAATAATATAACAGAATAGACAATTATCATAATTAGAACTTTAACAGATAAGATGTCTTAGTGATTGGGGTGGAATTGAGAAGTGGAGTGTGGTAATTAAGAACTCAGACTTTAAAGTTAGACTAGGTTTAAATTCAGCAATTTACTGACTGTGACCTTCAGCAGTTTGCTTAATCTCTCTGGGCTTGCTTTCTTTGTTGTTAAAATGGAAATAATTGTAATGTATCTAAGGATTAAATGAGGTTAAAGTTAGTTCATACATTTCAAAGATTTAACATTGAATGATACTACTACTGCTGCTAATTATTATTGCTATTGTTTGAAAAAATTGTTAGGTACCTTGGTCTGGAATACAGCCATTCATTTCAAAAGTGTTTCAATTTGAATTTCACAAAGTATATTTTCCCATCTACACGCCAATAAGAAATTCATGGGAATACTTTAGTGTGTAGATGGGAAAATATACTTTTTGAAATTCAAATTGAATTTCTGCTTTTCCAGGTTAAAATTTTCTCAGAAAAATGCCATGCGTATTCATACAAGAAAAAGTTTACCAGTAGTTTTGAAGACTCACATTTATGAGACAAAAAAGCATCTGCCTGATGAATATGATCATTATTTGTATCTAAGATGTACCAAAAATATCTAATTTAAAAAAGGATCTGACAGAAAAAACAAACAACAAAATCCTCAAAACCATCTTCCAATGAAGTGTGCAAAATAGAGGAAGTGATTTTAACCAAAGTTGAGGTCCCTCTTTGCATTAGTAATGCCTGGTAGCTGCTTTGGTTCTTTACTCTGCTCTTCATAACAGATTTGTATACAGGAGACTAGAAGATTTAAGTTGGCTCCATGTATGTTTTTATGAATTCCATGAAAAGAAAGGTTCGCATGAATGTGTGGGAGAGGTGGAGTACGGGAAGAGTGGTAGTCACTTGTAGACACAGATTCCGAAGCCAACACTGGTGAATTGGTTTAGTCAGGTCCCATAGTAGGATCTAGCAGTAGTTGAGGAGAATGAGCTATGGAGAACAGGTGGTAGAGACTGGGATGGAGTCTCTTTCATAATCTTTCGAATTAAACAAATAAACAAACAAACAAGCAAACAAGCATCAAGAAGAGGAAAATGTTTAGTGGCTCTTCCAAGTGGAGTAGAGTTCATGCTCTGCACTCCAGCAACAAACACATTCCTGAAAATAAGCCCAAAGGAAAACACACGGGAACTGAGCTTGTGTTTGAACCTTCAATAGAGATGAAACTAGTCTGACCAGTATGCTAAGTGAAATAAATCAGGCATGGAAGGGTAAATGTAGCATGAGAAACCCAAAATGGAAATAATTTAAGGAGCAAAATAAAAGAGAAGTAATAGGAACTGGGCAGTAGATCTTTCGGAGAGAGGAAGGGGATCTAGGAATGGAGAGGTGAGGCAAGGAAGAGGGAGGGGAAGTAAAATGGATTAAGATGTGATATGTGTCTGTGCTAACTGTCCACAGCAAGTATTAGGTATCACAATGTAGTAATAAAAAAAGATGAAGAGAGTGTGAAAGCACAGCAAGTCCTGAACGTCGAGTGTGAGTGAGTGGGGAGTGAGGATGAAGCCTGAGCTGGGTGCAGAGGGAGTTTCCTGCTGCTCCGGGCTGTGGGTGAAGCAGAGCTGGGAGGGAGCAGAGAGCTGTGGCGCGGAGTCTTTGGACTCTTTAACAACACTGAGCTCTCCCCGTTCCTTAGCTGGCAGAACTTAGCTCTGGGATCTAGTGTGGATTAATTTATGTTTCAGGGCATGAACTCATTTATTTTCAATGTCAAGAATCAGCCTCACTTAACTTGTATTTTTATTGTGATACTGGGGATTGAATACAGTGGCTGTGCAATCAGCTATATCTTCAGACCCTTTTTGATACTTTCATTTTGAGACAAGTTCTCAGTAAGTCACTAAATTGCCCAGCTGGGGTTCAGACTTCCAGTCCTGCCTCAGACACCCAGAATGCAGGCATTACTGGTTGTGCCTCTTTTATCAGAAGGCAATGAGAGCTCTCAGTGAAACTTCAGGATGGTCATTTTGTGTGCAGAGGAGTGTTCCACGCTTGGGTCTAGCTGACTTTGGATGTTTGCCTTAGAAAATTGACACAGCATGTTGTAAGACTTCTCAGCTGTGTTTCACGGTTTTGCAGTCCAGTTTGGTATGGGGAAACCTCAGCATATTCCTTTTGCTACTTCTCAGCAAAAAATTCTTAGCTGCTCCAACCTCTTGTAGAAAGCAGGCCTGATATGGAGTGAATCAGGCAAGTAAGATAAAAGCACAGCCACTGGACTTTTGTTTCTATGTGACCTCTGCAACTCAATCCAATTATTTTATAAATTAACTTCATGAGGAATCCGATTACAGGTCCACATTTTTCTTAAAGTGTAGTATGAGGGGGATTAAAGATTAAACTTTAAGTGGCCTCAGTAAACATTGAAGGTTCAGATACCATATAACTAGGGATATTTAATGATCTCTGGAATTTTTTTTTCAGTCCTTCAGTACGTGCGTCAGAGGGAACTATGAGCTAAAGATAAATAAAGTCTTACTTGTAATGTGATACCTGGCAGCGTCCATTCCTTTCCAGAATGGCAACTTTTGTCTCTTGATTTTAATAATTCATAAAAGAAGAGAGGGTGTGGTTTCTTCAAAGGCAGGTGAAGTGGGCCTTTATCAGCCCATCAATGCTTTTTCCTGCTGTGACTCACAGATTGATGGCAATGGTGAAACTTCCTTAGTTTCATAAAATATTGTTTGATGTTTAGATAATCATGATGGCTATTTTGACCATTTTTCCTGAGAACTTTATAGAACAAATAATACCCATATCAGTAAATCAAAGTTAAATCAAAATTATTTGTATGGTTGATTGACATATAAAGGTAATTTATATGCTGGTCTAAATATTAGATTTTATTCTGAAGTTGACATATTTAGTTTACAAATAACACTAATTTAATAATGTAAAAATTAAAATATATACAAGCATATTGCATTTCTACTCATCAAACAATGTAATATGTTTCCATTATATTGAAATATATAATCACTTTTATGTTAAAATACCCAACAGTCTAATTGAGTATTTAAGTCAATATGAGTCATTATTGTACCTGGTGCAGGAAGCAGGTTCCACTCTGTAAGGGAACTTGGGGTGTGAGTTTCTATAAATTGGGTTCCCCAAACAGGTTTAATGGCTCTAACTCCCATTGCGATCATTTTTGCAGATGAGTTGTTTTAGCGGGTAATTTGCTTTAATGAGGCTATGGGACTGGGGGACTCAGAGGAAGAGGAAGAGTGGAAGAGTCTGTCCACGGGCATGCACAGAGGAAGGGCACACGACACAGCAAGAAGGTGCCCTGCACAAACCAGAAGAGGCTCATTAGCAGCAGCTGAGTTGCGCTGGGTCCTGATCTTGCACTTCTAACCTCCCAAGACTGTGAGAATATAAATGTCTGTTGTTTAATACTCTTAGTCTATGATATTTTATTATAGCAGCCAGAGCTAAAGTCAGTGTTAAAGAGCAGTCAGAGTCAAAAGGATATCCCAGCAGCTATGCCATCCGAGTGAGCCTGTAGATAGATTTTCCTTTGATGAGTAATGAGGAGTATATTGTGTGGGTCCCTGAGGATGTTGTGAAAGAGCTTCCTATGAGGAGCATGGGGCAAAGGTCAGTGGGTCTGTGCACACAGTGCACACAGCCTGTATTGCTTTAGACTAAAACTCAGCAGAAGCCAGGTCTTTTAAAGTCTTGTATTTTACTCTAAGGAGTGTGAATTCACTTCTGATACTATTCTAGTACCTTCCACTTATGGAATCTTTGAGAAACTGTATCCGTCTTTGGTGTGTATATTGAGCCAAAGAAGAGCATTGAGAATGGAGGCTCTGGTTATTCCAAGATCTACATGTTCAGTCCAGGCCTCTGCACAAGTTTATAGTACAGATAACAGAGAAGTATCAAAAAGCTTGTGCTGTTCCTAGTTTTGAACTGAAGAGGAAGTGATAAGGACAGAGAAGAGAGGGCAGAGAAGAAAAGAGAACAAGTAATTTGTTTTCATTCTTAAGATCAATGTAGCTGGGACAGCCATGTAGAAATGTGGGTGGACACCAGGGTGTGAGCTAATGGTTATAGACTATGAGGTCAAAGCCAGCAAAGGCAGTTTGTTCATTCTTCACAGCCCATCTGTGCAGCATGTCTTCCTCCCAAGTTTAGAGCGGGGCTCTTTTGGAAAGGAGGGACTGTGACTCACCACTAGATAAGACAGGTCAGAGCATTTCTTTATGTCAAGTGAAATGTGGGGAAAAGGCAGAACAGGATCTGGGGCTGGCTTTAGCGGAAGGGTTCTTAATGCCTTATGAGCCACTTTGGAAAGGGGAATTTTAGTTTCTTGCATTCAGGGACAGAGGGGAGCAAGAGAAAGGACAGGAGATCAGAAAGATGTGGTGCTGAGGCCCTGCTAATGTACTTCATTTCAAAGCACTCAGTAAGCCAAAGAGTCATGAGTCAGGGTGTATTTTGTGAGCCATAATATTTGTTTCCTCCTTGGGCAGGAATAAAAGAGAAAAAGCTATCATCAATCTTAGATTTTTTTTTAATAGATTGGCTAAATGAAGTAATAGAAAATGGCCTCTTGGGCCTGGGGATTTAGCTCAGCAGCATAAGCGCCTGCCTTGCAAGCAGGCAGTCGTGAGTTCGATCCCCAGTACCGATAAAAAAAAAGAAAATGGCCTCTGGAAAGAGAACTTTGAGACACACTGATTCAAAGTGAGAGAATGTGGAATGGTTAGTATTTAAGGGCTCCTTGAACTTCCAAAATATAAGATTGGATTTTCCCCGTTGTGGTTGACAAGTGGGATAAATCCAGGCATTTTCTATGGAGAAAGGGGTGGGAAAAGAAGTGGGTCACAAAACAATAAAAAAGGAGTCCAGAAAGTGAAAGAAAAGGTCTCTGTACAGTACAGTGTAAATGGACAAAAGTAGGTTGGAATTAGGAAGCCCTGGGGTGGATCCTGACCGGTTTCCATTTGGAGTCTTCCAGCAGTGCTCTCCAAGCTGCTGCTTGCAGTTCTCTCCTACGGGGCCTGTTCTACATTCTGAGGGATAAGTCCTGAGGTAGGCCTGCAGCAAGTGTAAAGACTCTTTTGGAAACTTTTAAAAATCTTCCATCCTATAATAGAATCTATCTGGAGATGCATGAAGATAATATGGTGGTGGAGCCATGGAAGGATAGAAGATGCTGGTGAGGACAGAGAAGAGACATAGGGACAGAGAGGATTCTGATCTTTAAGGTCATGTGGTTTGATAGGAAAAGCAGACCTCTTGTGGACTGCAGTTACAGGGCTTGAAGGTAGAAGCACACAGCCCCCAGAGAAGCACTTACCCGTTTCCATCTCTGCCGAATTTTGGTGTCTTAGTTGGTTAAAAAGCCACAAAGATCGTGGCAGCCAGTCCTGAAGGCACTGGAGTTGGGTATGAAGAGCATTGTCTCCCACCTTTCCATGCGTGGCTCAGCTATTAATTACATGAAGTGACAAAGATTCTCCTTGTTGTGTGATTGACACAAGAATGAATCTTTGTTACTGACTGCAAATAATAGAAATCTTGATGGTGATCCGGAGTCAAGCCAGGAATATGCACCCCATACCATGCAGTGGGTATGGCAGCTTCTTCTAAATTCACCTGAGAGCTGCAGGACGACACAGTGGGCATTATTTGGTTAAGTTCCTCCCCAGGAAACACAGCCTCCCTCATTTTTTGTTGTTCATTTCTGGCACTGGAACAACCTGTCTCTTTACATTAGTTCAGTTCTGTAGAGAAGCAGGCATTTAGAAGGAAATAGTTGGAAAATCTAGGCAAGAATCCATTTCTGAAGTCACAACCGAGTGATTGTTTTCTTATTGTGCTACATGGAGCTGGAAAAATCATTTCTTTCTGTACATATTTTTCTTTTCTTTTTTTTTTTTTTTTGTTTTTTTTTGCTTTGTGTTTGCATTCTGCTTAAAACACTCATATGTGCCAGAAATGAAAACATTTTCAAAGGGCAGGTCTCAAGGTCTCCTAAAAATAGGATCTGTCGCCAAATATATATTTCCCTGATATGTAAATGGCTGGAAAGGGGCACAATGAAAAGCATATGCTGCTCACATTTGTCTTAAGAAAATATGGGTTTCTCCTTGCCTTGAAACTCTTGAAATAATCATCCCCAGCTCATTGTTATCCCAAGTCTTCAGACATCATTCTTGGCATATTTTATGCTTATCTTTTAATCAAGGCTCTAAAAAGCTACTAAGAATAATTTTATTCCCAAATGGAAAAAGAAGTTATTTCATTGCATCAGTCTGTGAGTTGACATGTAACTTTCACTTAATTGTCCACGCAGAAAGAGCACCTGAACCCAGAGCACTTGGGCCTTTTGGGTCTGCTTCAGAGATCCAGGCGTGAAGCAGTGACTTGGAAAAGGCACACATATTTGTTGAAGTAGGAAATCTTTCATTTCTTTCCTTCTGTGGCCTGCAGTTACGAAGCACTTCAGATTCTCTCTAGAGCAAAAAAGGGAGAACATAAATAAATACACTCATGAAAATCAAAGAAGCCAAAAATGTAGGGGTTTGCTTAGAATTCTGTTACCCAGTGTGCATGGGTACCTTCTACTCTTAACTCTGCGCTTTGCAGTTAAGAAAGAAATCATTCTTGGTGAACTATATTTTCAATGCCTTCTTTTAGTTTCTGCAAAAAGACCCCCTTTTATCTTGATCAACAAGGAATCAATACTTTTAATTAGTATACGTGATTTTCTCAAAGACAAACCTGCATGTCTGGCTTCATCCTTCTTGGGAAGGTTCTTGTGGGACTGGAGTCTGCTGGCTTCCCGGAGAGACCTCCTTGCCCTCTGGCAGGATGGTGGAGGCAGAGCCGGTCCACAAAATGCCACTGGAAACCTTTACCCTTGGAATTATCTGACTTTCTCAGCCCTGGTTAAATTTTGTCTTCCATATCTTGATAGGCCATGGAAAAAGAAACTAAGACAAGGTTTCACCTTTGCTGTTAAAAAGTTGTAACCTTTGCTTGCATATGCCAAAGAAAGTGCTTATAGCACCAATTAACATGAATTATTAACTTCAAGATTAATAATTTATTAGAAACCTAAAGGCCCTAGGCACTGCCAGATCACACTGTTGAAATAAAAACAAAGAAAACAACATAGGTGTAAGTATAACAATTTGAGGATAATGTTTGAAATAAGTAATGGCATTTAGATTTTCTGAAAGACTTTTTATTTACTCTAATTTTACACTGGCTGAAGAGTTACACAAATTTACTAATAATTCCCATAGAGACAGATGTTGGTTTTTAAAAACTTAGCAAATATTCATGTACTTCTTTCTTTGTACTAACTTCTATTCAGACACTTGCACATATTAGTTCATTTAATGAATTCGAACAACCCTTTGAGTTAGGCACTGTGATTATCATCCACATGTTATAGAGGAGGTAAGGAGAAATGCAGTCACAGCAGAAGATAGATGGTAACTGGTTATCATAATTTGGCAGGGCTGCTGTAACGAAGTACCACAAACTGAGTGACTGAATTGACATTTATTGGCTTACGGTGATGGAGGCCAGATAGAGAGACCTGGAGGTCAGTATGGCTGATTTCTCCTGGCTTCTGATGGTTTTCCCACATCTTTAGTGTGACTGGCATGTAGATGCATCAGCCTGCTCTCCACCTCCATCTTCCCGTGGTGTTCTCCCTGCAGGCAAATTTCCCATTTTTATAAGGAAGCCAGTCATGTTAGATTAAGACCTATACTAATTACCTCATTTTTGAACTTGATCACCTCTGTAAAGATCCTGCTTTCAAAGAAAGTCACATTCTGCAGTGCTGGGGGTTAGAACTTCAGTGTGTGAGTCTTGAGGATGAGGCACACCATTCATCCCATAACACTGATGGAACCCAGAGTCCAACCAAGACATCTTGCTTAAATCCTTGTTCTTTGTCATGTACTATGCTGCTTCTCATCTTCTGTTCTTGTTTTTTCTTTCTTTTTTTTTTTTTTTGTACACAGAGCTCTTTTTCAATTTAGAGTATCTTACTGATTCATATCCAAGAACTTTCCTTAGTGTGAATGCTGTTGTAGACAATATCTTCTTGAGCTCAGGTAGACACCTGCTTAATTGGGGATTCATACTGGTTTACAGGTAGACAGTCACTAAATGCTCATCAAACTAGGAACAGCTATGTTTTGGAATCTGAAAGCTCTTTCAGCTCTTTCTTCTTCACTCTTGAGCACATGTTTTCTGAAATTCATATTTTTGAAGGCATTTTAGGAGAGAGAGGCTTAATTATTTCCTTTTGGTCCCTTCCAAATTCCTGTTTTGGGGGCCATGCTGAGGCAGTCCTCATAGTACTTCTGTTCCTTTGCAAATCCACCTGACCTCATCACATTTTGAAATAGGATGAGGGAAACCAAAGGCCTGTGAGTTCTGACTCTTTGGCCTTTTAATTTAATGAGGAAAGACAGTTTGAAAACAGAGAAAACAAAAAATATAGAAAAGGGGAACCAGGAAGAGTGAAAGAATAGAGGAAAGAATTTTGCATAATGAAAGTTTAAAAAATAAGATTTGCTTAATTAAATTCCAGTTTTCAAAGAAGCAGAGTGACAGTTCACGTGTTGTTATTGTAATGATGAAACCCAAGGCAGAGGTTTATGTGCTCCCAAGTATTCTCACTGCACCCCCCCCCCCCCGAACTCATCCTGACAGGTGTTGAGGGGCTTCCTTATAAAGACTGCCTGCCCAAAACTGTATGCTGTACTTGGCTTCCAACTTCAGTATTTCAGGAATTTTCTCTTCTTTCAGTTTCTTTCTTCATGTGTTCATACTTAATAGTATTTTAATGCAATTTATGTGTTAGATTAATTTCCTATTTTTCTTCTCCTCTGAATCAAAGAATGAGAGAAAAACTATGATAGAGAAAGCCAAATTGATTATGGGAATTAATTCATATTTTGTTTGAATAAATTGTCCATTCCTCTCACTGTGTTTACAGTTTTCTCTTTTCTGAAAGCAGAAGTCATGGAGTCATTCTAAATTGACTCTAAGACAGGGGACAGACAGAGGTCACTGTTATGAATGAAGCTCAGGACTGGGCCCTCGCCTTGTGTCCTGCTGGGTCTCTAAGCAGGACATCAGATCTGTTTAGAAATGACTTGCTTGGAAATTTGATCACATTCTTACTTCTTTGGGTCTCATAGGGACTGCTTTTCTTTGGGAGCCTCAACAAATGTTAATCCAGAGAGCATCTAACAAATTGATGGGTTGCAAAAATGGCCACAACCCTTCACCTTCCATATATCCTGTGTTTTCTGAAATGCGACTTTTCAATTCTCCCATCAAAAGAGAGCCTGTTTCCACGGTCCTTTGTGTTGCCTTGTGACTTGACTGGTCAATAAAATCCAATGGAGGGGATGATATCCTATTTTTGAGCCTAGAGCTAGAGCTCAGGAAATTGGGGAGGTGCATTCTTTAGGGGAACAGTACCCAGAGGACTTATGCAAAAGATCACAGTAGCCTGCTAGATGATGAGCAAGCACATGGAACAGATATCTCAGCTGAGGCCAATACAGAATCTAAGTCAGTGGTGGTGAATCTGTGGCTCCTGTTCCACAGTGGGCCGTTTGTATCAGTGAAAGCTCTAAAAGGTTCACCATCATAGTTTTAGTGCATCCTTAGCTGACTCAGTAGCTAAGCACGGGTGCATGAGTGAGCCTAGGCAAAATCTAGGGAACATCTGACAGCCCAGACCAAATTGCTGACCAAATCATGAGCTGCACAAGTGGCGGTTGTGTTAAATCAACACTACACAATAATGGCTAAGTGATATACTATCCTGGAAATTTGATCAAGTGTTGTATTTTTCTGGCCCCTTTTATTTCTGATGTTCCTTTGAAAGCATCAGCAAATGTTTGTTGACACGGAAAGTCTAGCATTGTTGGTTTCACCTCTGGTATTCAGATTCCTGAAGTCATCTTTTAACTTCCTTTCTGTGGTGGGGATACAAGATGCAACGTTTTGTACTTCATGTTGGACAGGTTGCAAGTGAAGTGCAGAGGGTGACAAAATTGAGGAGCATCTCACTCTCAGGTCTATGCACATATAGGGAGTAGTTCTTAAAATTTGTTTCCTACACACATCACTGAAACCAACCTTTTGCTGGCCTTTCCTGGATGGAGATGTGTAGGTTGGTACCCTTGTAATCTTGATCCTCTCCTATATTGGTCTGAACCCTCCAAGTTGCAGACGTAGTCTTCTATTCCTTGGAAGAGCTGAAATTCCCCTCTTAAAGATAATGCAAAGGACCTCTTCAATGCAAGGTCATGAGAGCCACTTGATGATGTCCTCTACCTCCCCTCCTGATTCCCAGGTCCTCCATCATTAGGGTCCTATCACAACATTCTGGCCGAGGATAAGCTGGGCCAGATAATTGGGGAAACACTGCAAGGTCCAGGAAGGGCCTAAGGAGTGTACCTGGGTCTGGGTCTAAGGGTTCTGGCTCTGAGCACAGATTGGCTCAAAGAGAATTTATTGACTTGAGAGGACTCTTTGGAGACGGTAGTTCTGATCAGGGAGCACAGGTGATTATATATATTTGCTACTGGATTGCCCAGTGCTGTCGTAGCACTTCTTGGGCCAGAACTCTCCAGAAAAGTAGGATGAGGACTGTGGAGTGATGAATCTTTTAGAATTGGAAAGTACAGAATCTATAATTAAGATTTTTAATTCAATGTTCTCACTTCATTCTGGTGCTTGACATATCCTTTACCATAATTAAACTGTTTAACTATAAAGGTTAAAAACCCTCTGTACTCTTGCAAGTGTTGACTCTCTCATTCTCTGATTCCTCCTTCCTGTTTCAGCCCATTGAATTGCAAACAGTCCTTATTCAGGTCTTCTTTCAGCTCAGAAACCTGGTGGACTCTTTCACACCTTACATAATGACATAAAGTCTTCACATCACATTTGTCATCAGGATTCCTTGTAGGAAGGAATTTATTTTTGCTTAGCATGGTTGGTAGAATAACACTTCATTACCCTCTAATCCTGGATCCTATGGATATTTTACATTATGTGGTAAGAAAGAATTAAGGTTGTTCATCAACTGGCCTTGAGATGAGGAAGTGATGCTGGGTGTGATTTCATTATGTGGACCCTTACACATCAGAGAAAGAGGTTAGAGAGAAAGATTTGAAGATGCTATTTACCGAAACACCTCCTGAGGATATCAGTCTAAAAAGTTTACAGTTACTGAACCCCTGAGGAGGGTATCAGTCTAACCCACCTGGCAATATGACATAGGGGTACAAAAGAAAAACAAAGAGAGCATATTCTGCTATTAAAGAACTCTGGGATGATCCAGTGTTCTCTGTGAAACAAAAGGCCTCATCTTCCAAAGCTCATGGCTTTTATTGGTATCAGTCAGGGAGGCAGGAGAGGGTTGCAGCAGACTGCATAGGGAAAAGAAGCTTTGTAGCCATCGCAAGGCCAGAGGCCTCCAATTAGGAATGCACAGATAGTTTTGATATATGCAAGGGTGGCACCTTTACTGCTAGAACATTTGTTTCAGTATAGCCAGCTCTACATATCTAAGTAAATAGGGAGAAGGAGAGGTCAGAGACAAATTGCAGCAAGGGCTTTGTTTCTCAGGAGAGAGCAGCATGGTGGTACCATACTGTGCTGTTGCTACTGTCACTGGAGATGAAAGAAAGGATTATAAAGCTAAGGAATGCAGCAGTAGGCAGGCAGTTGGTGCATGGTTGAAGCCAGCAATGAGGGAGTCTTAAAAGCCCAGAATCTATTCTTGCCGGTTTGCCTTGATGCTTCTGAATGAGAGTTATGAGAACAGCTCCTGACAAAATGAAGGGACTTAAGCTAGCAATGCTGTTGTCCTCCAGGGGTACAGAGCAGGAGTCGTGAGAACTGTGAGAGGTTCTACCTCTGAGGTAAAGGCTGACTGCAAAGATAGTCACACC